TATACAACTACAAGTAGGGTATAGTTGGCTGCAATTGGCAGGACACAGTGAGAAGTCCAAAATACACCTTGTCATCAGCAGAGGTCTGTCAGAGAGGGGAGTCAGCATGCTGTCATTTTGTCTGTGGAGCTGTGCTCGTCAGGTGAAAGTGCCCCCTGTCAGGGAGAGAACATGTCTACCACATTCTCAGTGTCGCGGACAAACAAGACTTTCAGCGCGCACAAAGAGAAAATCTGTACCAAAAGGGATCTGTCAAAGAAACAAATCTAAATAACAAAAAATTGGTTCGAGTGTTAAGATATTATTTTATTCGGGAGATAATTGAGGCATGTTTATGCAGCTGTTTTTTGTTGCTGGTGGATTAAACTATTTTGATTTGGAGTGGCAATTTAGGTGACATCCCACCTCCCCTGCAGTCAAAGTCTATAAAATGTGGTGCTCTATAGGAACTGTAGGTGGAGTCAAAGCACAAAGAATCTACACTTACATCACACATTAATCTTGTCCACAACAAAAGCCAGCATCTGCACTCAAAGAAGAATGCTTTTCAGATCTTTAACCCACAAGGATTGCTAATCCTCGGTTAATTTTGGGCTGAGCATGTTGCAAATTAAATCATAAAATAGGACCTAAATTCAGAAAAATCCAAAGAAACTACACACAGTGAGAAGGTCAAACCTTTGAAAAAATATGTGTCCTCTGTTATGTCTGTGTCTGTGCAGAGCGAAGGGACTATTGTGTAGTATTCTTTGTGTATTCCATAAATCATTTCTCAGACCGTTACAAAGCCACAAACCACAGAATGAAGGACCGCACTTGTTATATCATGAAGATGCATTGGCTCTAGAGTACAGAACAGTTAATAATAAATGTTAACAATAAAACAGGATACAGTTACCGATATTTTACGAGACCATTTAAATCACATTTATATTCCTGATTTTATTTCACATTTTATTGTGAAAGTAGTCTTGATTTGCAGACAGATCCTGCTATTTCAGTGAGTGATATTTTCTTTAGAATTGCCTCGTGGCTGTTTCAGCACTCTAATGTCACTGTTTGCCACTCGAACCCCCCCCCCCCCCCCCCCCTCACCTCCTGTTCATAGTCATTTGGTTGTTTCCCTTCCATTTGCAGCTGTCAGAATTAAACTGTACATAATGGTTGCCATCACGTCTCTTGCTTCCTGGCTGCTGCTAACCCCAAATCAACATTCCTGCTTCTTAGTGACGTTCATTGCAATTGTTGAGCAAATTGTTTGTTTTGAACATGCAAAATCACACAGCCTGATGTGAACGAAAAGAGCATCTGATTGGCTTCCAGTGTTCCCTCTGTTGATTTGAATTAAGTGCAAATGAGGACAACAGGGAGAGTGTGTTTGTATAATGTGTTGTGTGTGTAAATGTTGAATACTATATATACACTACAGACTCTTTTAGCGTTGCTGTGAGTGTTCATGTAGGAGTGTGTTCATCTTAAAGTATCACAGCAAAGACATTGAACAGTCATTTTTTTACTGCCTTTATATCTGATAGTGACTGCACCAAACAGCTACATCAGAGGGAGAATCACTGCAGATTTCCACCAACAAGCTTCTGAGAGTTGGTCTGATTAGGAAAGACACCTTTCTCTTAATTCTGGAAGCAGTGTGTTTAGTCAAGGGAGTGTTTATTGACAGCCATTGACTCATCTACAGTTGTAAGGTTGGAAAAAGCAGGATGCCTAAATGAAGCGAACAAGTCAATCAATGCGATGTTAAAGACTTGTTTTTTGGAACAAATCTCCTGGCAGATATTCATCTATGTGAATGAATAGGATGTGAACTGTAATTATGTTTTAATGGTCTCAGTGCTTTGTAAGTTGGTTTCTTTAGCAATCTATCAGGCTAACATAGAGGTACTGGCTGGTATTTGTGTTTCATTATTTTGACTGCAGATATTCTATCCATCCGTTGTCGTTACAGCTTTTCCCGTTCGGGGTCGCGGGGGGGCTGGAGCCGATCCCAGCTGTCATTGGGCGAGAGGCGGGGTACACCATGGACATTTTACTGTTTGGTGAGTACGTAAGGCTACATTCTGAAGAATAAGATTATTCAATTTATAATGATCTAAGTGAGATGGATACCTTGAAGAAGCCCTAACCTGTTGGAGATGATAAGTGTCGTGTAGTACCCTGCATCATGTTTTTATTATCCCGTGGGGCTGTGATGTGTTTCAAAACGTTCCTATATGCACTTGGCAGATTAACCCTAAAAATGCAGATTATGCTGCTTAAGAAATTACAATTTCAAACACTGTACAGAGCACATCACTGGTACAGTTAATACTTCTTCATTTTATATGCTGATGTTGTCAAACTAATGAATTATACTTAATGTGTGTTTGATACGTGAAAAATTCATTCTATCCTGTAACGACACTTTTATTATTTCTGAAACTTTGTAATTAGTTGAATTCACAGAGCACCATGAAATCAAAGGTTACTGTGATGACCACACAGAACCAGTTTGAAGTTGTTTTTCTGGCCTTGCAGATTCTCATTGTGGTCAGTAATGCATGAAGTCTGTGAGGAATTGCAGTATTTTAAAGTTTAGCATAAGTGTAGAGGTGACACCACAGGCTGAGCTGCAGATACAAGCAGATTAAACTTTGTGAACACATACTATGTTAGAAGAGTGTGGAAAAACACGTCTATAACCTGAGTCTAAATGAAGTCACACAGTCTAAAGAGACATTTCAATCTTAATTTTCAATTTTAAATACTGTATCAAATGTAAAAGTTGTGTTACTTTTAGCACTTTTGCATGCTATTGCGCTAATATTGTTAAGTTAGCGCATAAATAGTTAGCAACTTTAGCATTTAGCTCTAAGTGTAGTATGAGCCCATATTACCATGAATTTGTAATATTAGAGTTTTCGATGTGGTCAGCTAAGACCTCAAGCTAACGCTTCATTGTGTGATTTACAAGCTTATTATTAATAAAAGGGACTAATGTAATTTTTTTTAACGCATTATCCCAAGAGGGCGCAGAATCTCTCTTTCGTCTCTGTAAGGAGTAAATGCCCAGATAATTGTCTGGACTGCTGCAGCACTCAGCCTGAAATTCGCACACCATTCCTAGCCTACCTCTCCATCTTTCCCTGGCTCACGCTTCAGGTTACAGGTGCAAACAAACATGTGTGTTTTATTTTGGTAGCTTACACTAGCAGGTGAAGTGCATTTGTTTTGTCCATTAGGTTTAATGCCTGGACCGAGACCTGCATTATTTTATTTTTGGTTAAAGAGCATTATTTCTTATTTCAGCGGCAGATAGTGTGGGGGTCTGAGGAAATTGGAGTTGAGAGTTATATGGAAAACATAATTGACCTTTTGAATAGTGTTGTTATTTATTAGAGGGATACAATTTGCACAAGAGGTTAAAATATTTGTATTAACATCCCATCTGTGACAAGGTCTTGATCCCATGTAATTAAGAATACTAGAACTATAGGAATATTATGTATTATGCTGTTTTATTCCTGCAAGACTAAAGGATTGAATCATCGCCTGTTTTCATTGACCTGACATCGCTTGAATTCATACATCAATTTATAACATAGTATAACATATAGTTAACAAATATATGTGGTCTCCTTGTGAGGGATCAGCACAGAGACATGCAGAGGGACCAAAAAAAGCTGGATGATGATTATGAAAGAGAATTTCAGCACAGAATGGTCCTAATAATGTGGCTGCTGCATGCCAAACTCTCTGCCTGACAGACAAACTCACTCTGAAGCACTCTTGCAAACTTTTTAGACTTTTGAAGTCTTCAAAGATTCTCAGTGAGACTTCAAACACTAACAGTGAAACCAACTCAAAAGTACATAAACCTGCTTTAGATAATCAAACATGGCTGTTAGGCTGACAGGACTTGTGAAGGAGTCTTTTTTTCTTCTCTCTGTAATCATACTTTCTGTTTCAGTATTCGGGGAAGGGAGCTGTGAATTTGTTCTTTTACTGGTGGGGGAATTTTTAAGTCATAGTAAAAGGGACTGATAATAAAAGCTTCACTTTCTGGATCGATTGTCATTAGTGTCCTACCAGAGTGTTGACAATTTCAAAAACGGTGATTACTGCAATATTTGAGCTAATCTGGCAACATCGGGTAATTGTCATTTGAATGAGAAAATAAATGGGACATTAGAGTTACTGAACAAATACCCATTACATTTGTTAAACATTTAAATGTAAGTTATATGGGGTAACCATACAATGTATTACTTGTTTAAACTTGTATTTTCAGCCCATTTTTATGTTTTATTTTTGGAGAAAAAACTCAAAGACATTACATTACATAGTGTGTGAATGTAAAACTAAGTTAGTGTTTTATGTAGGAGCTTTGAAGATTTTGTTTTTGCCTGAATGGGTTAAGGCACAATTTGTAGAGGTTATATATTAATTCAAATGATATTAATCAAATTGAAAGGTAGTTGCAAGAACAACTAGTTTATTAATAATAATTGATTGAAGGTTAACGTTTTAGTATTCGAAGCTCAATGTAGTTTGTATGAATCTGAATTTGGTTATTGCTGAAAAATTGTTCAGTGTGGTTTTGATGCATTATACACTAATAGAAGAGTTGGTAAAAATGTTAAAAAAAATGCTATTACATTTTTTAAGTTTTAAAACAACTGTGTAAAAATCTAATTTACCAACTCAAAATACTCAAAATAATTTATGGGTTAAACAAAAAATCTTGTCTAATATTGCAATATTTATGAGTAAGATCAAAGTAACATTTTTTACAGTGTGAGCATCTTGTATAAAATCTCTCCTGTATGTGTGCGGTGCCATCAGTCTAAGCTCACACTGTGTGTGTGTGTGTGTGTGTGTGTGTGTGTGTGTATATGTGTGTGTGTGTGTGGGGGGGGGCTCAGGGGACTATGTCTATGGGGAGAAGCAGAGCAGGAGAAGTTGGAGAGAGCAGCAGCCACACAGAACATGGACAGAGCGTTTACCTGGCCCTGTGCTCTGTGGGTACGCCAAGTAGCCGCCTCTTCCACGGGCCCCCCTACCTGAGCCACGCGCTGCTGCTACCGCCGCCGCTGCCACCGGTCCGTATGCTGTCGCTGGGAAGCCTGCAGGCACACACATACACATGTACATCACTGCCTGCTCATGGGAAAGAGTTTGTCTCTGGGCTACAGGAGCATGTTGCACAGGCACTGAGCTTCTGTACAGGAGAAAGCTAAAGCTGTCAGTGACACGGGCTCCTGTATGAACAACATGCTACAGTAACCCAGAGATACAGAAGTTCACTGGGACAGTAAATCATTCAATTCTTTTGTTTGACAGACCATCTTTTTACCATTTTATTATCATGACTGAATCAAATGTGAACCGAGTCACCGAGGTATATAGCTGAGTCATTTTTAATCCAGTCACCTCAATCAATTAATATATCCTAAAATAGGCAGGTCTAGTTTCTACTCTGTGAAATATTATTTACAAAGACAACTATGACTAAGTAGTTCTACCTGTAACATAACAGCATCATTCATTTATTTATTGTATTAATCCTCTTACCAGACTCAATTTTCCTGTGTTTCTAATAGAGTTGGGGTATATGCTTTAGTCCTGATGTTAGTTCATCAAAATGCTTAGGTGACAATTTGATGTGTATTGTGATTATATACTTTATTGTGATTCCATACTATCTACTATTGGGATATGCTCCCTTTTTAAACAGATACAAAAATTAATAGTAGAGATTATAATATCGTGAGTAATATTTCTATAAACAATGCACATCACAAGTCAGTCTGCTATTTTAACATCTGTTTATTATTTGAGGCTGCTCTCAGCTCAGGCTGGCTGAATATCTGGAAACAGGAATGACATCAAATTGTCAGAATATTTATCCCTGGGAAAAAAAAAAAAGGTTTTTAATTGGCCCATAAAAATCATGACAGTTTAGAGAATCATTGTTCTTCACACTGCTTTTTACTACACATACCTAGCCAATAAAGCAGATTCATTTTTTTCTTTTTTGTAATATTCATTTTCTAGGCTTTTTGCCTTTATTTAGACAGGACAATGGATAGGGTAGGGAATGGGGAGTGAGTGGGGAATGACATGCGGAAAAGAAGCTACAGGTTGGACTTGAACCCGAGCTGTGTAACACAACCACAAGGCCATCTGTGCCCCAATAAAGCTGATTCTGATCTATCAGCAGATTCTTACTGTAGCCAATTTAAAATCCCGCATTGATCCAGAAACAGAAAAAAAAAATCAATATTCCTAATATGAGCTACCTGCTGATAAAACAACAATAAGTGAGATAAGTGCAGCTTCAACATACTTGTCATTATGCTCATGAAGGGGAATATCAAATCACATTCACTCTTTAAAAACACCATAAACGTCTTAAATGAGATTGACTTTCGAGGAACATTTACAATGAAACATTTTTATTTCATATGCATGTCCGAATGAAAAGGTGCATATTTGTATTCATCCATACAACTGTAAGTAAACTGACTATCCCAATTCACTAAGTCCCTGATTATAATAGAGAAAGGATTCGGCTCTGGGGGATGTTTATGTCACATGCTTTGGATGAAAGATTACAGCCACATCTGAGCTGCATAGACATGGGCATAATAGTCCCTCCTCTGGGGACTGTCCCTGCATTTTGTTCGGGAGTGCTCCCAATTACTGCGACTTTGTATGGAATCAGAATCAGCCACTGTAATGCAGGACGGAAAGCATACCAGATTTTTATTGTTGGAGCTATTCAGGTGGAAGATATGGAGTAGAAAAAGAAAAAAAAAAAAAACATCCCCCACAATCAGATGGAGACATCTGTTGGATGATTTGTCATTCAGAAGAGACTTCAATCTGTTAGCTTATGTGAAGACTGAACAAGTCTCTTGTGCTTGTTTCTTCTTATGTAAACATTCAGACTAAGTCCTCCAACGCTGAGATTTTGTAAGCTCGTAAGCATCCATAAATCAGTCCAAATTGTCAGTTTATGACACACTAATAAGACCATGAAAAATATAAATCCACTTCTTCTTTAGGGTCTGATTAGTCCAACAAATATCAGCCTAATAATCAGCCTGTAATTAAGCCAACGCTGTATCTGTGAATTGTAATTACATAGTTGGCCTTAATGAACACAGTAGCTAGAGGTGGCTGACAGAGGCTAGTCCATGCCCAGGGCCCAGGCTCCTCTCTCTGCACAGGAATGGCATGTCATTAGCTGTGATGAGATTCCTCACTCTGGGCTCAACACCGTCAATGCCTAATCAGCCTTCTGAAATTATCTCCACGGGAAATGCTTTCCTCACCAGCAAAAAGAAGATATCTAAATTCTCTCAAATTGAGCTTTTCTCGAGGTCTTCATGTGTGTTTTTCTTCCATGTTTTGGGGCCACAATGTGGAGAGTCTTTGCTTCAGACATTACAAAAATGGTACGGGACATCTTAGAGGATTATTTCTTGAATGCTGTAGAGGTGAGAGGCGCACTGGCGGGTGACCCATTTTTCCAAGTGAGCCTTGTACTGCTATTCCACCGTACAAAAAGACTGATGAGACAGACGGGAGGGAGGGAGGGAGGGTGTAAGAAGAAGGGTCAGATGAGCCGCAGCCAAAGAGAAAAACACATAGCTTTTCATCAGCTGGCTGAGAAGGAGGTAATTCACAACTCTGTCGACACAATATGACCATGAGTGTGTGTGCGTGTGTTAGGGAGTGAGGTGCCATAACACAGCGACTGGGTGGCAGGTGAAGAAGAGGAAGAAATGCCACTTTGCCACCCGACTATCTAACAGCTCCGAATAAAAAAAAGGGAGAGTTAAGCAGCGTGGTGAAAAAAGAATACAAAAAAAAAAGAATTCAAAAAATCCACTGCCACATTTATGTGAATGATTCCAGCAGCTTAAACTCTACTCTTTCCTCTTTTCACAAAATAACCCCTACAATTCAAGTCTGATGCTATGCTCATGATGGCCATCCACCCCTGCATTTCCACTTACAGCGTCTCCATGGCTGCTGTGCAGAACAGTGTTCAAGCTGCACCTCTCCCTTCTTCCCCCCTTTTTCCCCCCCCCTCTCTCTCCCCCCTCCTAAGTGCTGAATCTATCTTCCCCCCGCTGCCATTGTCATGACACCCCCAATAGACCCACTGGCTTGGAAGTTAGTTGCGGGCAAAGTTGTGGTGAGAGATTAACTTTGCAGGATTAGGTGGGTTAATTAATAGATGGCTGCTGCTCATTGTTTTGTGCTCACGCTGTAAGAAGCCACCCAAGAGAAGCGCTGCAGCATTAAATCAATTTCATGGCCCTTTTATTACTGAGGAGATAAAGCCAATATTTAGCTTTCAATTCTTCACAATTATTGGGCCCCTGCTTTGCCACTTGAGTGGCTGCACTTGGCTGGGGACAAGGACACATCTGTTTATGAGCCGTAGAGGCCCGGGGGCCTTGGTGTCTGGACTCAGGGGAACTGTCCTCAGCTTTTCCCCCCCTCAAAGCCTGGAGCAGAGAAATGTAGTCTTCTTCAGGAGAGCATGCACAGAGGAAGAAACATTTAACCTGAAGAGAGATGAAGGCGCTCATTTTAACCCTATGAACATACAAACAAAATAGACCACTGCATGGAAAGTCACATCTTTTAGCTATATCTATATTTAGAACAAGAAAAGTTGCAAATTTCTGCAGATGATCCAGTCTGAGATTATTTTACTATGACCTCTCCACACTTGCTGCAAAAAGCTTAAACTGCCTTTTTATTCTGTCAACTAATTCAATCCAGTAGTTTCCTGTAATAACAGTCAAAACTTGAAAAAACTGCAGCGTTCCTTACTTTGTTGCCATGAATCTTTACAAATCGGTGGCACCTTGTGGCCACTTTGTTTAATTCCAAACTGTGAGCCATCACCCAACACCAACATCATAGTTGTAGTAATATTTTGAATTCCTAGTTCTAGCTTCTGGTGTCAATTTTTGGACTGTTGAACTGCTTCATTATGAAAGACAGTTCACACAGAAACTATACCCTGTGTCCTCTGTTCTCAAACTGACCTTCTGTCGGGTCAGAGAAATTGAGTTTCAGACAACTTCTTTGTATGTTGTCCAAAATCTGAAACTATTGTAAGGTGTAGTGTATAAAGAGTTGAAACAAAGAGACTTTGAGGGAATAAATGAACTTGACTGTTCAATGTATTTACAAAGTGAAAATTTGTAATTATTAATATACATATATACAATACAACGAAAGCTGTTTCAAGCCAAGTATAAACCTGGGTAACCAAAAATGGCCACCAAATGGGTACAAAGACCACCAAATCTAGAGGTTTGATAGTGTGTGCTTGAAATGTTAAGCGACAATCACTGAATTGTATTTTCGAATATGCATCCATGTCATTCCCTCCATAAAATAAACTTCCAGCTTAAGCACCTTGCCAAACGTAAGAGCGTGTCCAACTCATTTCAGCGTCAGTTGTGTGTTCAAGTGGCACAGCGAGCATGCAGAGCACATAAAGCTCTATTTTCACGACAGTGCACAGCACATAACGGCTGTAAAGTGGAATTGTGCAGTTCTACCTGCACCTCTATTTTTGTAAGTCTGTGTGAACTTGACTGAACTGAAGTAGGAGGAGAGATGCAGTCAGGGCAGTGTCATAGCGATCAAACGGAACCTTGCAATTTTTGTGTCAAGGTTTCCTGGGATTTCTTGTCTGCCCCGGCTGCCTGCACTGACCGGGTCAACAGCTTTGTTTTTCTCTATTATCAAGCAGTCAAAGCCCTTTGCTGAGTATTATGCTGCTTTTACAGAAGAGAAAAGGAGGTGATGTGATTGGGCAAATCAATTCTGGCCCCCATCAAAACAGCAGATGATATCGCTGTGTTTTCAAGGCTGCTTTGCCGTTTCCATAGCACAATTTAACACAAAAACTATCACCTGATAGTTAGTCAGTCTTCATTAAGACATGCCGAGCCCCACTTTGCCTGCACTTTTACTCCCTGTCAACGACTCATGAGTGTACTTTATTTAAACTTCTTCTAGTTTAGACCCAGGAAAGTAGGAAGGGGCAAAATGGTCTTACTCCCAAGTCCTCGAATACAACAGCTTG